CTGGTGACACCAGTAGACTAATAGAATGATCTGGTAACACCAGTAGACTGATAGAATGCTCTGGTGACACCAGTAGACTAATAGAATGCTCTGGTGACACCAGTAGACTAATAGAATGCTCTGGTGACACCAGTAGACTAATAGAATGCTCTGGTGACACCAGTAGACTAATATAATGCTCTGGTGACACCAGCCACAGCCAGATAACCAGGCAGACAGAGTGAGAGGGAGAGACAGACAGACAGGGAGACAGACAGACAGACAGACAGAAAACAGACAGACAGACAGACAGACAGGCAGACAGACAAACAGACAGAAAGACAGACAGACAACCAGAAATAGACAGACATACAGACAACCAGAAAGAGACAGTTTGTCTGTCTGGTTATCTGTCTGTCTGTCTGTCTGGTTATCTGTCTGTCTGATTGTTTGTGTGATTGTCTGTCATTCTTTCGTTCTCTCTGCCTGTCTGTCTGTCTGTCTGTCTGTCTGTCTGTCTGTCTCTCTGCCTGTCTGTCTGTCTGTCTGTCTGTCTGTCTGTCTGTCTGTCTGTCTGTCTGGAAACACAAACTGCTGTCATGGTCTGACAAACACCTTTCACCACAGATGTGGAAGTGCAACATAGGCAGATGAGACGCATCCAATGCAACTCAATACTAAGAAGGTGTTCCTAATGTTTTGTTCACTTATTGTATATTTTATCTGGTAATATACTGTCAAATTAAATGTTCATCTTTTAATTTAGATTTCCCCATTAGTGGACATTGTTTCACCTTTAAACGTTATACATGTAACATTTCCCCCTGAAAATACAGAAAAACAGAAGCAATGTTAACTCCCTGTTTTACGGTTGGTTTTAATTTGCGAAATTGAAAACAATAGCAAAAACATTACAACATTAAAAAAACTAAAAAATTAAACAATACAACACACTTCTTCACGTCATTGCAACTAATGTTTGTATTATGATATGGTAAGAAATCAGTTTTAAGCAGTGTCCTTTGAAAACCACAACAAGGGAATAATGTCTAAAATATTACGTTGCTCCTTTACACTTTACAGCCTTCATCCTCCTCTCTCTTTTTACTGCCTTCATCCTCCTCTCTCTTTTTACAGCCTTCATCCTCCTCTCTGTTTTTACTGCCTTCATCCTCCTCTCTCTTTTACTGCCTTCATCCTCCTCTCTCTTTACTGCCTTCATCCTCCCAAAAAACGACTTAAGTAGTACTTGAAAGTATTTTTACTTAAGCCCCTAGAGTCGAAGTCCGCGCCCCGCGGAAATCTAATAATCTGTCATAAAATCCCCATAAAAATCTGTCAATTTAAGCTAGAGGTATCTTTGCATTGGATGCGTTTCAATCCACCCCCTCCGTCGACGTTGCACTTCCACATCTGGGGTGAAAGGTGACAGAGCTAGACTGGTGTTTGTCAGACCATGAGACATCCTGAAAATTGGCCATCTCATAAAATCATCTGAAGCTTCCGAACGGTTAGAAACTATTATGAGCCCTGTATGGAAAGATGAGACCCACAAGCGTCTTTGGACTCGACTGAAGTCGGTACAGCCTATTGGTTTTGCTCTAGGATGCCCACAGGCCTCACAAGACTTGTCTGAAGGGTACCAGTTGAAAAATAAATGGAAGTACTGTATTCGGAAAGTAATCAGATCCCTTGACTTTTTCCACATTTACGTTACAGCCTTATTTTAAAATTGAATAAGTAGTTTTTCCCCTCATCAATCTACACACAATAATCCATAATGACAAAGCAAAAACAGGTTTTTAGAATTTTTTACAAATGTATAAAAAAAAAAAAAACTTAAATATCACATTTGCATAAGTATTCAGACCATTTACTCAGTACATTATTGAAGCACCTTTGGCAGCGATTACAGTCTCAAGTCTTCTTGGGTATGATGCTACAAGCTTGGCACACCTGTATTTGGGGAGTTTCTCCCATTCTTCTCTGCAGATCCTTTCAAGCTCTGTCAGGTTGGATGGGGAGCGTCGCTGCACAGCTATTTTCAGGTCTCTCCAGAGATGTTCGATCGGGTTCAATTCCCGGCTCTGGCTTGGCCCCTCAAGGACATTCAGAGACTTGTCCCGAAGCCACTCCTGCAATGTCTTGGCTGTGAGCTTAGGGTCGTTGTCCTGTTGGAAGGTGAACCTTCGCCCCAGTCTGAGGTCCTGAGCGCTCTGGAGCAGGTTTTCATCAAGGATCTCTCTGAACTTTGCTCTGTTCATCTTTCCCTCGATCCTGACTAGTCTCCCAGTCCTTGCCGCTGAAAAACATCCCCACAGCATGATGCTGCCACCACCATGCTTCACCGAAGGGATGGTGCCAGGTTTCCTCCAGATGTGACTCTGGCATTCAGGCCAAAGAGTTCAATATTGGTTTCATCAGACCAGAGAATCTTGTTTCCCCCGATTGCTCAGTTTGGCCGGGTTTCCAGCTCTAGGAAGAGTCTTGGTTGGTCCAAACTTCTTGCATTTCAGAATGATGGAGGCCACTGTGTTCTTGGGGACCTTCAATGCTGCAGATATTTATTTATTTTTTGTGCCTCGACACAATCCTGTCTCGGCGCTCTACGGTCAATTCCTTCGACCTCATGGCTTGGTTTTTGCTCTGACATGCACTGTCAACTTTGGGACCTTATATAGAAAGGTGTGTGCCTTTCCAAATCGTGTCCAATCAATTGAATTTACCACAGGTGGACTCCAATCAAGTTGTAGAAACATCTCCAGGATGATTAATGGAAACAGCATGCACCTGAGCTCAATTTCGAGTCTCATAGCAAAGGGTCTGAATAAGGTATATCTGTTTAATAATCCATTTTAGAATAAGGCTGAGATGTAACAAAATGTTGAAAAAGTCAAGGGGTCTGAATACTTTCCGAATGCACTCAGCCATCCTAAGGTCTCTACCACTCAGCCGTTCTCGGGTCTCCACCACTCAGCCATCTTCAAGTCTCTACCACTCAGCCATCTTCAAGTCTCTACCACTCAGCCATCCTCAAGTCTCCACCACTCAGCCATCCTCAGGTCTCTACCACTCAGCCATCCTCAAGTCTCTACCACTCAGCCATCCTCTGGTCTCTACCACTCAGCCATCCTCAGGTTTCTACCACTCAGCCATCCTCAGGTCTCTACCACTCAGCCATCCTCTCGTATCTACCACTCAGCCATCCTCAGGTCTCTACCACTCAGCCATCCTCAGGTCTCTACCACTCAGCCATCCTCAGGTCTCTACCACTCAGCCATCCTCAGGTCTCTACCACTCAGCCATCCTCAGGTCTCTACCACTCAGCCATCCTCTCGTCTCTACCACTCAGCCATCCTCAGGTCTCTACCACTCAGCCATCCTCAGGTCTCTACCACTCAGCCATCCTCAAGTCTCTACCACTCAGCCATCCTCAGGTCTCTTCCACTCAGCCATCCTCAGGTCTCTAACACTCAGCCATCCTCAGGTCTCTACCACTCAGCCATCCTCTCGTCTCTACCACTCAGCCATCCTCTCGTCTCTACCACTCAGCCATCCTCAGGTCTCTACCACTCAGCCATCCTCAGGTCTCTACCACTCAGCCATCATCAGGTCTCTACCACTCAGCCATCCTCAGGTCTCTACCACTCAGCCATCCTCTCGTCTCTACCACTCAGCCATCCCCAGGTCTCTACCACTCAGCCATCCTCAGGTCTCTACCACTCAGCCATCCTCACGTCTCTACCACTCAGCCATCCTCAGGTCTCTACCACTCAGCCATCCTCAGGTCTCTACCACTCAGCCATCCTCAGGTCTCTACCACTCAGCCATCCTCAGGTCTTCCACTCAGCCATCCTCCTGTCTCTACTGCTCAGCCATCCTCAGGTCTCTACCACTCAGCCATCCTTAGGTCTCTACCACTCAGCCATCCTCAGGTCTCTACCACTCAGCCATCCTGAGGTCTCTACCACTCAGCCATCCTCAGGTCTCCACCACTCAGCCATCCTCCGGTGTCTAACACTCATCCATCCTCAGGTCTCTACCACTCAGCCTACCTCAGGTCTCTACCACTCAGCCATCCTCAGGTCTCTACCACTCAGCCATCCTAAGGTCTCTACCACTCAGCCATCCTGAGGTCTCTACCACTCAGCCATCCTCACATCTCTACCACTCAGCCATCCTCAGGTCTCTACCACTCAGCCATCCTCAGGTCTCTACCACTCAGCCATCCTCAGGTCTCTACCACTCAGCCATCCTCAGGTCTCTACCACTCAGCCATCCTCAGGTCTCTACCACTCAGCCATCCTCAGGTCTCTACCACTCAGCCATCCTGAGGTCTCTACCATTCAGCCATCCTCAGGTCTCTACCACTCAGCCATCCTCAGGTCTCTACCACTCAGCCATCCTCAGGTCTCTACCACTCAGCCATCCTCAGGTCTCTACCACTCAGCCATCCTCTGGTCTCTACCACTCAGCCATGCTGAGGTCTCTACCACTCAGCCACACACTGACCCTGACACTCTTCACATACACACATACACACACACTACTGCACCCATGCTCACACCCTAAATACAGTATGTAGCCCTTGTATCTGATGCTGTCTGTTATGACATGCCATACTCCTTTTGTCCAGACAGCATCAGATACATGGTCTACACATACAAAGACAGAGGGGCGCTGTTTCGCTCGATAAGATGCTTTATCTGAGATTGATGCGTCTTTCTGTTAGTGTGCTTCTTGGTCAAATAATTATCAATAATAATATGCCATTTAGCAGACGATTTTATTTAAAGCGACTTACAGTCATGCGTGCATACATTTTTTTACGTATGGGTGGTCCCGGGGATCGAACCCACTACCCAGGCGTTACAAGCGCCTTGCTCAACCAATTGAGCAACAGAGGACCACTGTATCAATATTTCAATATTTTATTTGGACGGGCAAGGAGGTACGGTAGGGTGAGCCAGGCCCCCTAGGGGAGGTACGGTAGGGTGAGCCAGGCCTCCCAGGGGAGTTACGGTAGGGCGAGCCAGGCCTCCTAGGGGAGGTACGGTAGGGTGAGCCAGGCCCCCTAGGGGAGGTACGGTAGGGTGATCCAGGCCTCCCAGGGGAGGTACGGTAGGGTGAGCCAGGCCCCCTAGGGGAGGTACGGTAGGGTGAGCCAGGCCCCCTAGGGGAGGTACGGTAGGGTGAGCCAGGCCCCCTAGGGGAGGTACGGTAGGGTGAGCCAGGCCTCCTAGGGGAGGTACGGTAGGGCGAGCCAGGCCTCCTAGGGGAGGTACGGTAGGGTGAGCCAGGCCTCCTAGGGGAGGTACGGTAGGGTGAGCCAGGCCCACACACACATTTAGAAAGCGTTTTCATCCCAAGTGACCCCCTATTCCCTATATAGTGCACTACCTTTGACCAGGGCCCATAGAGTGCCACTATACAGCCGCTTCTAAATATGTGTGGAGAAACACCTCCTCCTGCTGGAGAACTGAGGAAGTGCACCTAAACCATCTAAACTAGCCACTTATAACAGTATCATTACCATCTGTTTGATATCAAATGGTTCATAGCAAAGTGTTGTTGAAGTGGTTGAAGACAGGTGCAGGTGTATAGAGCTGTAGTCAGTATTATATGAGAGGATCAGAGAGGGTTTTTGTAGAGGAGAGAGGGTATAGTGAAACACGGTGCTGAACTAGCAGCACAGAAATACACTGCACTGTCTTCAGCTTCTCTAAGTTTGGGAATATGTAGATACACCGTTTTCCGAGGTGCAGCATCTCCACTCATACTAAAACGCTCTTTAAAGGAATCTTCCATTATTGGACTGGTGAATGTCACATACCCAATGGGTTTCAGAGCAGTGTTTTGGGCTGACTGTTGGTACCACAGTATTGTGTTGTAGGTTGGAATATTGTGGCTGCAGCTGAGCTGAACCTTATCTTCAGGTCTTTTTAGTATTTCAGTAGGAGTCTGGTGAATATTGTCTGTTTGTGACAGCCCTGTGGATGAAAACAGACAATATGAAATATACAGTAGCAATATACTTCAACAGTAAATATATATTTCATGAGGGACTTAGTACCTGTCACCCATAGTGGTAGAGTTGCTACTTGTATGAGGAGCGTGATCATGTTGATGGTTCTGGAGAGAAGTGTCACATGGACAAGGAGAAAGGGTTTTCAGATAGTCAGAGATGTGTTGTCAGCTAGTGGGAGTGTCAAATGTATACTGCATCCCAAATGGCACCCTATTCCCTTTATAGTGCACTACTTTAGACCAGAGTCCATAGGGGTGAGAGGAAATAAGTCAATAGAGACAGTGAGCTGAACTGAGCTGCCGGAGGGGATGGAAATGACATCACTTTGACGTCAGAACTTATGTTGATATTCAAGCAGATACCTTGTTCACCTACAGGTCTCCTGTTCAGCTTAAAGGTGTATTGTGGAACATACCGGTAACTACATCATTGAAAGTATTTGTCTTTTTTAGTCTTTAGATTTGATCTGTGTTATAGATTCTGCAGTAATCACACTAGAAATAGGCTGTAATTTGAAGAAATACCCAAACCGTTTCTTCTGTAGCAACAACATCAACCACATTATGTAGTATAGAGGTTTGATAACAACTTCCTCCATGTGCTCAGACATCTACAGCGGTGGATAGCAGGTCTGCTGGGTGTTGATGTACACTGCAGTTATGGAGTAACGGATCAGAAGGGGTTTTTGTAGAAGAGAGAAGGGTATCTACATCACTGGGTTGACTTCAGGTCAGAACAGTAATACACTGCACTGTCTTCAGGTCAGAACAGTAATACACTGCACTGTCTTCAGGTCAGAACAGTAATACACTGCACTGTCTTCAGGTCATCACAGTAATACACTGCACTGTCTTCAGGTCAGAACAGTAATACACTGCACTGTCTTCAGGTCAGCACAGGAATACACTGCACTGTCTTCAGGTCATCACAGTAACACACTGCACTGTCTTCAGGTCAGAACAGTAATACACTGCACTGTCTTCAGGTCAGCACAGGAATACACTGCACTGTCTTCTGGCATCCGACCGTAAGGCGCTACAGAGGGTAGTACGTATGGCCCAGTACATCACTGGGGCCAAGCTTCCTGCCATCCAGGACCTCAATACCAGGCGGTGTCAGAGGAAGGCCCACAAAATGGTCAAAGACTCCAGTCACTATCGTATATGAAGATTATGACGTTGTTAATGTTTTAAGTGGAACCGGAGAGGACGTTGATTTTAGTATCAAGAGGGAATGTTTTAGTGTAACGCCACATACAACAGACAGGAAGTGTGTTGTAGACAGGGGATTGGACAGTATGTGCGTTACAGACTCGACACGACATCACCCAAGTCAGAGACTGTTCTCTCTTCTACCGCACGGCAAGCGGTACCTGAGCGCCAAGTCTAGGACCAAAAGGCTCCTTAACAACTTCTACCCCCAAGCCATAAGACTGGTGAACAATTAATCAAATGGCCACCCAGAGTATTTACATTGACCCTTGCTGTTTATTATCTATGCATAGTCACTTTACCCCTACCTACATGTACAAATTACCTCGACTAACCTGTACCCCCGCACATTGACTCGGTACCGGTACCCCCTGTATATGGCCTCGTTATTGTTATTTTATTGTGTTACTTTTATTTTATTTTTATCTTTTGTTTAATTATTTTCTTAACTCTATTTCTTGAACTGCAATGTTGGTTAAGGGCCTGTAGGTAAGCATTTCACTGTAAGGTCTACACCTGTTGTATTCGGTGCATGTGACAAATTCAATTTGATTTGATTGGCACAAAGTCAAAGAGAGAGGGGGGCTGGGGAGAGAGAAAGAGGGGAGAGAGAGAGAGAGACGGAGGGTGGGGGAGAGAGTGAGAGAAAGGGGGGAGAGAGAGATGTGGGAGGTGGGGAAGGGGGGGGGGGGAGTAGTCATGTGAATCACATCTATGCAGGGGAGGAGTAATGGAATATGACATTGTAACATTGCATAATTGATGTTAATGAGTGTTGACACTAAACTGTAATACCAGTGTACTGTACTAGGACAGATATCACCTTGCTTATGTCATAATCCATCTGTGGTTATTCATTGGCACTGAATCAAAGTCACACCTCAGATGCAGGTGTTCTGAGCAGTGTGCTAATACTACTATCAGATAGGGTTTATGTAGAGGAGAGAAGGTACTCTACATCACTGTGTTGGCTGGCTGCACAGTAATAAACTGCACTGTCTTCAGGTCCTCTCAGACTCAGGAGATGAAGATGAGCCTCTTTCTCACCATCTCCACTCACATTGAAGTGCTTTTCAAGCGATGACTCCAAGTTTATTGACTTGTAATTTACATAACCAATGAGTTTCATAGCAGTGTCTGCTGCTGACTGTTGGTACCATAGTATCATTCGGTAGTTAGGGATAGCATGGCTGCAGGTGAGTTGAACGTTTCTTCCAGGTCCTTCTATTAGTGCAACAGGGCTCTGATTAACCATGCTACTAAACGACTCTCCTGTGGAGAGAGAGAGAGAGAGAGAGAGAGAGAGAGAGAGATAGAGAGAGGAGAGAGGGAGATTAGGTGAGAGAGAAGGAGTGAGAGAGAGGATATTTCATTCAGTTTGATGACATTCGTAGATTTGTTAGGCTTCTCATCGTAATTGATTTAATACCTGTCACCCAGAGTGGTAGAGCTGCCAGGTGAATCAGAACTCTGAACATGATGATGAAGGAGAAGATTATGATGATGAAGATGCTGAGGAAGACGATGATGATGAGGAAGCCTCAGTGGAGGAGTGATATGAGTGTCTCCTGGATGAAGCTCTGAGGTGAAAGGAGAGGGGCTGATGTTGTAGTATCCTGTTTCCTTTAGGGTGGTGGATAGTGAGAGTGTTAGGAAGCCTGTACTGTAAAGCTTGCTCATAGGACCTCACTGTGAACATGACTGATTACATGATCATGACAATGAAACCATCAGACATTAGAAGAACTAGAGTTAGAGGTCCCCCTACAGTACGTGATGAGACCATCTCTTTACATATTATATTCCATCCTATTGAAACTCTGGGGTTTTTGTGCAGCTGTGCTTGTCGTCTGTATCACTGTGTTCACTCACAGCACAGAAGTACATGCCGCTGTCTCCTGCCTCCACCTTCTTCACTGTGAAAGATCCACTCTCAGCATCTGTCTTAACAGTTGGATATTTGTCTTCACCGAAGGCTCCATAGTCTGGTTTGCTATAACTACTTGTGTAAACTACCTGCTTCATTCCCTCTCCTGGACGCTGTCTGTACCAGTACATCTGGTAGTAGGTTGGACCCTTAGTGTGACTGCAGTTCATCTGAGCATCACTGTCTTTCAGTCCCCAGAGTATGGTGGGTGTCTGAGTGACTTCACTCCCCTCAACAAGACCTGTAAGGATACAGTGAGAATGAAATCAATAGAGTTAGATACAGTTAGACCTGAATACAGCAAGACTCAGGTGAAGTGAACGTATGCTTGGAAACATCAATATCTATAACTATAGAAGGCCGTCATTGTAAATAAGAATTTAGTTCTTAACTTTCCTGGTTAAATAAATGAAACATTATGAAACTGTACCTGCAGCACAGAGCACTAAGACAGTAACAGTGAAGAGAAATGTGAACATGTTTGATCACGTTATATGTGAGAGTGCTGGAAAGAGTCTGGTATCAATGTACAGAATAAAAGAGGAGTGTCACATAGATGAATAGATGACAATCAGTAGACCACGGCAGGTTTCACCATATTGAACATGTCAGTGAAGTGGGAGGGACACTGATGATCTGAATACATCATGCAAATGACTGGTTCAGACTGTAGAGACGTTCACATTATTAAAGATAGAGGTCCCCCTACAGGACATGATGAGACCATCAGCTCTTTAGATATTATATTCTATCCTATAGAGCTCGCCAGCTTGTAGTCCTAAAAAACTGAAAGGAGGCAGCATTTTCTACCTCTGGTTCGTTGGCCGTTGCTATGGGAGAAATGAAGGGGGGAAATAATGGGGTTTTGGGATAGGTTAACACAGGCTTTGGAGATCTTATAGGTTTTGTTCTGTGAGATAATATCAGTCAGTTAACATGACCTTTATGAATTATGAAGCCTTTATGTGCTCAAAATAAGTATGTTGCTAACGAGTCGCTAACTGTCAGAGAAATGGAACTACCACATTAGTCGCAGCATTTTTCACGTCACTACGCTGACCACGCAAACTAGTCTTCTACAGTCTGGCTAAAAAGCTAGTTAGCTTAGTTAGCTTTTTGATCACCAGTTCGAACGAAAATGGAAATCTCTTCAGCGGGAAGATGCTTGTTTTATTGGTTCCCGAACGATAAAACTGGGTTTTTGTTATATTATATCAACTCTGGGGGTTTAGTGCAGCTGTACTTGTTATATTATATCAACACTGGGGGTTTAGTGCAGCTGTACTTGTTATATTATATCAACACTGGGGGTTTAGTGCAGCTGTACTTGTTATATTATATCAACACTGGGGGTTTAGTGCAGCTGTACTTGTTATATTATATCAACACTGGGGGTTTAGTGCAGCTGTTATATCATATCAACACTGGGGGTTTAGTGCAGCTGTAGCTTGTTATATTATATCAACACCTGGGGGTTTAGTGCAGCTGTACTGTTATATTATATCAAAAACCGGGGGTTTAGTGCAGCTGTAGTTGTTATATTATATCAACACTGGGGGTTTAGTTGCAGTGTCTGTCTTGTTATATTATATCAACACTGGGGGTTTAGTGCAAGCTGTAACTTGTTCTATTATATCAAAACTGGGGGGTTTAGTGCAGCTGTACTTGTTTATCATCTCTGGGGGGTTTAGTACAGCTGTAACTTGTTATATTATATCAACACTGGGGTTTAGTGTAGCTGTACTTTTTTATATCAACACGGGGGGGTTTAGTGCAGCTGTACTGTGATATTATATCAACACTGGGGTTTAGTGCAGCTGTACTTGTTATATTATATCACACACTGGGGGTTTAGTGCAGCTGTACTTGTTATATTATATCAACACTGGGGGTTTAGTACAGCTTACTTGTGTATATTATATCAACACTGGGGGGTTTAGTGCAGCTGTACTTGTTATATTATATCAACACTGGGGGTTTATGCGCTTATTTTTTAAAAATAAACCGGGGGGTTTATGCGCTTACTTGTTATATTTATCAACAGGGGGGTTTTTGTGTGCTGTACTTTTTAATCAACAATGGGGGTTTATCGCACTTTTTATATTATTCAACCGGGGTTTTTATGCATGTACTTTTATATCACTCGGGGGGTTTTATGCAGTTATTTTATTATATCAACCTGGGGTTTTTATACAGAAGTATTTGTTTTTTATATCAACACTGGGGGTTTTGCGCTTCTTTTTTATTTTCAACACTGGGGTTTTTAGTGGCTTTTTTTGTTTTTTATAAAAAAAAATGGGGGGTTTGTGCAGCGAAAATTTGTTTATTTTTCATCACGGGGGGTTTAGGCAGCGTCTTGTTTTAACCTGTTTATTTTTTTCAACAGGGGGGGTTATTGCACGGACTTTTTATTTTATCAACCTGGGGGTTTTTAGGCGCTGTACTTGTTTTATATAACACGGGGGGGTTTAGGCACTAAACTTGTTATTTATATCAACAACTGGGGTTTAGTGCAATGCTGAATTGGATTTATATCAACACTGGGGGTTTAGTGCAGCTGTACTTGTTATATTATATCAACACTGGGGGTTTAGTGCAGCTGTACTTGTTATATTATATCAACACTGGGGGTTTAGTGCAGCTGTACTTGTTATATTATATCAACACTGGGGGTTTAGTGCAGCACTCCCCTCTGAGCTGTCTCTGCTAAGCCTAGCATCCTTTCCCTCAGCACTGGTACCAGAAGACCAGGGGACCACACTGCCTGTACTGGGACCAGCAACATCCTAGTTGTGAATGAATAAAGACATTTATTAGATAAAGAAGAAAGGTAGAAAGATGACTGAATACATGCCTAATAGTTGACTATTGGCTCACAAAACCTTATCAAAGCCTAACTACTTATATGGCAAATATACTGTAAGTGCCTGGCTGTCATACATGTTATTTTACATTTACATTTACGAAGCTCGCATCTGCTACAAGACCATGGTGCTTGCCTACGGAGCTGAGAGGGGAACGGCACCTCCGTACCTTCAGGTCTAGAAGGACAAGAGCAGAGGAGATAGAGTTAGCTTTAGCAGTGCGGAGAGCCTCCGTGACACAGAGAAGAGCAGTCTCAGTTGAATGACCAGTCTTGAAACCTGACTGGTTTGGATCAAGAAGGTCATTCTTAGAGAGATAGCAAGAGAGTTGGCTAAAGACGGCACGCTCAAGAGTTTTGGAGAGAAAAGAAAGAAGGGATACTGGTCTGTAGTTGTTGACATCGGAGGGATCGAGTGTAGGTTTTTTGAGAAGGGGTGCAACTCTCGCTCTCTTGAAGACGGAAGGGACATAGCCAGCGGTCAAGGATGAGTTGATGAGCGAGGTGAGGTAAGGGAGAAGGTCTCCGGAAATGGTCTGGAGAAGAGAGGAGGGGATAGGGTCAAGCGGGCAGGTTGTTGGGCGGCCGGCCATCACAAGTCGCAAGATTTCATCTGGAGAGAGAGGGTAGAAAGAAGTCAAAGCATAGGGTAGGGCAGTGTGAGCAGGACCAGCAGTGTCATTTGATTTAATAAACGAGGATCGGATGTCGTCAACCTTCTTTTCAAAATGGTTGACAAAGTCATCTACAGAGAGGGAGGAGGGGGGGATGGGGAGGGGGAGGATGATTCAGCAGGGAGGAGAAGGTGGCAAAGAGCTTCCTAGGGTTAGAGGCAGATACTTGGAATATAGAGTGGTAGAAAGTGGCTTTAGCAGCAGAAACAGAGGAAGAAAATGTAGCGAGGAGGGAGTGAAAAGATGCCAGGTCCGCAGGGAGTCTAGTTTTCTTCCATTTCCGCTCGGCTGCCCGGAGCCCTGTTCTGTGAGCTCGCAATGAGTCGTCAAGCCACGGAGCAGGAGGGGAGGACCGAGCCGGCCGGGAGGATAGGGGACATAGAGAGTCAAAGGATGCAGAAAGGGAGGAGAGGAGGGTTGAGGAGGCAGAATCAGGAGATTGGAGGGAGAAGGATTGAGCAGAGGGAAGAGATGATAGGATGGAAGAGGAGAGAGTAGCGGGAGAGAGAGAGCAAAGGTTGCAACGGCGCATTACCATCTGAGTAGGGGCAGAGTGAGTAGTGTTGGAGGAGAGCGAGAGAGAAAAGGATACAAAGTAGTGGTCGGAGACTTGGAGGGGAGTTGCAGTGAGATTAGTAGAAGAACAGCATCTAGTAAAGATGAGGTCAAGCGTATTGCCTGCCTTGTGAGTAGGGGGGGACGGTAAAAGTGTGAGGTCAAAAGAGGAGAGAAGTGGAAAGAAGGAGGCAGAGAGAAATGAGTCAAAGGTAGACGTAGGGAGGTTAAAGTCACCCAGAACTGTGAGGGGTGAGCCATCCTCAGGAAAGGAACTTATCAAGGCGTCAAGCTCATTGATGAACTCTCCAAGGGAATGTGGAGGGCGATAAATGATAAGGATGTTAAGCTTGAATGGGCTAGTGGCTGTGACAGCATGGAATTCAAATGAGGAGATAGACAGATGGGTCAGAGGGAAAAGAGAGAATGTCCACTTGGGAGAGATGAGGATTCCTGTGCCACCACCCCGCTGACCAGATGCTCTCGGGGTATGCGAGAACACATGGTCAGACGAGGAGAGAGCAGTAGGAGTAGCAGTGTTTTCAGTGGTAATCCATGTTTCCGTCAGTGCCAATAAGTCGAGGGACTGGAGGGTAGCATAGGCTGAGATGAACTCTGCCTTGTTGGCAGCAGAACGGCAGTTCCAGAGGCTGCCTGAGAC